ACATGGGAGGGGAGGGGATGGGATGACATGGGAGGGGAGGGGATGGGAGGGGATGACATGGGAGGGGAGGGGATGGGATGACATGGGATGGGATGACATGGGAGGGGAGGGGAGGGGATGACATGGGAGGGGATGACATGGGAGGGGATGACATGGGATGGGATGACATGGGAGGGGAGGGGATGGGATGATATGGGTTGGGATGACATGAGGAGATGGGATGATGATATGAGATGGGATGATATGGGAGGGGATGACATGGGATGGGAGGGCAGGGGATGGGATGACATGGGAGGGGATGACATGGGAGGGGAGGGGAGGGGATGGGATGACATGGGAGGGGATGACATGGTATGGGATGATATGGGATGGGATGACATGGGAGGGCAGGGTATGGGATGACATGGAAGGGGATGACATGGGAGGGGAGGGTATGGGATGACATGGGTTGGGATGACATGGGAGGGGACGGGATGGGATGACATGGGAGGGGATGACATGGGAGGGGATAAGATGGTAAAGAACAAGAAAGGTCCCACTCTGATCTTCAAAACGGCTGAGGGGTAGGTGAGGCGTAGCAAGCTAGGAGTGCAAAGGTGTCTTCAGTGATGGGACAGGGACTTAGTAGCTTTTTACCCTGACTCAGGTCATTTGCCCTGCTGATGAGGACGCAATTGTCCCACCTCTTATAACAAACAAGTTTAAGCAAAAATACAGCCACTCATGCCCACAGGTCTAGATTAATCCAAACAGTCATTTATAAGTTACTCATGAGGATAAGTTTTACCTGTGTTTGAAAAGAGGTTTTACTCTCAAAAAAAAAGTAAAATACTTTCCTTATATAAGAGTGGAAACACAGAAATACAGAAAGAAAAGACAATATGTTTCTTTATGACATCTTTTTAATGTTTCAATGCCATTTTAAATGTTAAATTGGATTCATACTAAAAACCATGTTGAGGCTATATTCATTTAAAAACATGAAAAATATTTCTCAATATCATTAAATATTCTTCAAAACCAACACTTTGATTTTTGCATTGAGCCACACAAGATGAATACACCCTTGGCTGTGCCTGGCGTTTGGGGCCTCCACGTTGTGAGAGCTAAGCGTGCACACCCTTGGTATCGTCTTTTCATGTCTGTGGCCAGGTAAATGTCTGAAAGAGGGGCCCTGGGGCACACCTCTCTGGCAGAGTGGTACACACCCACCTCCCTGGGAAGCTCCAACTCTGCACTCAGGAACACTGGCTTTATCACTTTGTAAAATTTTGCAAATACATAGAAGAAAAATGCGTATTTCACTGTGGTTTTTCTTTGCATTCTTTTGATAACTCTAGTATTGACTCACAAGGGCCAAGATATCCATCAGGGATGGATGGAAAGGAAAGTGCAGAGCATTCACACAGCAGAATGCAATCAACCCTAAGGAAAGGCAATTCGGTCCTTGCGACTGGAGGGTGGACATGAAGCCACCATGCCAACGGGAGATGAGTCACTCAGACAGGAAGAGATACTGTGTGATTCCACTCAGAGAGGTATTTTGCCCTCGCAGGGCAGACAGAATCACAAGAGCCAGGACCAGGGAGTTTCAGGAACACAGGGAAATAAGCTCCAGAGACCTAGAACTCACCAGTCAGCCACCCTGCAGGTGCCCCAACACCTAGGAGGGCGGGTCTCCTGGGACATCAGCCACCATAAAGGTGAACCTACACCTAAGGAGGCGGGTCTCCTGGGATGTCAGCCACCATAAAGGTGAACTACACCTAGAAGGGACGGTCTCCTAAGACGTCACCCATCCTGCAGGTGCACCTACACCTAGGAGGGACGGTCTCCTAAGACGTCACCCATCCTGCAGGTGCATTTACACCTAGAAGGGAGGGGCTCCTGGGAGCTCAGCCACCCTAAAGGTGCACCTACACCTAGGAGGGAGGGTCTCCCTGGGACTTCAGCCCCCTGCAGGTGCACCTACACCTTGGAGGGCCGGTCTCCTGGGAGGTCAGCCACACTAAAGTTGCACCTACATCTAGGAGGGCCGGTCTCCTGGGCCTTCAGCCCCCTGCAGGTGCACCTACACCTAGGAGGGCCGGTCTCCTGGGAGGTCAGCCACACTAAAGTTGCACCTACATCTAGGAGGGACGGTCTCCTGGGCCTTCAGCCCCCTGCAGGTGCACCTACACCTTGGAAGGCGGGTCTCCTGGGAGGTCAGCCACACTAAAGTTGCACCTACACCTAGGAGGGAGGGGTCTCCTGGGACATCAGCCCCCTGCAGGTGCACCTACACCTTGGAGGGCGGGTCTCCTGGGAAGTCAGCCACACTGTAGGTGCACCTACACCTAGGAGAGAGGGTCTCCCTGGGCCTTCAGCCCCCTGCAGGTGCCCCAACACCTAGGAGGGAGG